GTGGTTGTGATGGTGGTATGGTATGGTAAGTCAGTCAAGTCATTCAGTGAGTAAGTCAAGTCAGTAAGTCAGCAACACTGGTATGCCTACTGGGTGTCATGATTGCTTGGTAGATAGGATATGGTAATTAAAAGATCAAAACACAATTCACAGCCTGGTTGGTCAGACCCTGAGCCACCATGAGGCCTGGTCTCAGACTGGGCCGCGGGGGCAATGACCCCCGAAGCCCTCTCCAGGTAAACTCCAGGTAAACAAGCACAGCAAGCTTGTAGGAGAGAAGTGGAACTGAACACGTGATTATGAAGCTGGGATGGTGGTGTCGGGAGTGCGGGAGGGCAGGGGAGGGCGGGTGGTCTCCCTCGCTGACCCACAACAAGGCGGCGCTTGAGGTAGGGAATGGCCGCCACTACTTGTCATATAATGACATTTTATTCATTCTAGAGTATATATCAGGTTTCTATGTTACAGTAGGGCCCCACTTATATCGCTGGTTAGGTTCTAGGCTACCGCCGTAGAGCGGAAACCGCCATAAAGTGGAACACTTTCTTTTTCTTATAAATGCATATAAATGCTAGATAACGTGTTTACACTGACATATATTAAATTAGCAATAGAACTAGGCATTAAAAACACAATGAAAAGTAAAAAACACACAACAGTACATTTATTACTTACCTTAAATTACTTAATATGAATGTGAGAGGTGAGTGGCAATGTAGTTATTGAATCAAATCATGAGATGGCAGACCATCATCCTCTAATTCCTCAACTAATTTGATTCGTTTTGGAGACTTGTGTGAAACTTTTGAATGAGTGTATGTTGCTGTTGATGCTGAAGGCTGTTCAAGGTCAGCTGTTGATGTTGAAGACTGTTCAAGATTAGCTGTTGATGTTGAAGGCTGTTGAATGCTAGCTGTTGATGTTGAAGGCTGTTCAAGGCTAGCTGTTGATGTTGAAGGCTGTTCAAGGTTAGCTGTTGATGTTGAAGGCTGTTCAAGGCTAGCTGTTGATGTTGAAGGCTGTTCAAGGCTAGCTTTTGATGTTGAAGGCTGTTCAAGGCTAGCTGTTGATGTTGAAGGTTGTTCAAGGTTAGCTGTTGATGTTGAAGGCTGTTCAAGGCTAGCTGTTGATGTTGAAGGCTGTTCAAGGCTAGCTGTTGATGTTGAAGGCTGTTCAAGGTTAGCTGTTGATGTTGAAGGCTGTTCAAGGCTAGCTGTTGATGTTGAAGGCTGTTCAAGGCTAGCTGTTGATGTTGAAGGCTGTTCAAGGCTAGCTGTTGATGTTGAAGGCTGTTCAAGGTTAGCTGTTGATGTTGAAGGCTGTTCAAGGTTAGCTGTTGATGTTGAAGGCTGTTCAAGGCTAGCTGTTGATGTTGAAGGCTGTTCAAGGTTAGCTGTTGATGTTGAAGGCTGTTCAAGGTTAGCTGTTGATGTTGAAGGCTGTTCAAGGCTAGCTGTTGATGTTGAAGGCTGTTCAAGGTCAGCTGTTGATGTTGAAGGCTGATTCAAGGTTAGCTGTTGATGTTGAAGGCTGATTCAAGGCTAGCTGTTGATGTTGAAGGCTGTCCAAAGCTAGCTGTTGATGTTGAAGGCTGTTCAAGGTTAGCTGTTGATGTTGAAGGCTGTCCAAGGCTAGCTGTTGATGTTGAAGGCTGTCCAAGGCTAGCTGTTGATGTTGAAGGCTGCCATGATATTTTCTTAAAGTAGGAAAGCATTGAACTTTGCCTCATGGATTTTTTTTTCCTTTCCCTTAAAATTTCTTTACAGCATGTAACATCATGGGAAAGGGATGCATTCACTGTTGAACTTCGTTCGAAATTTGGATCAATCTTCTCAAAAATTGCCATTGCTATTTCTATATGGTTGATAGCTTCTTCCAAATCCTGAGTTTTCATTTCTTTAATGGCAACAGGACTACCATCAGGATGGATCTCTTCATGAAATTTCCTTCTCTGCCCCTTCAATCAGAAGAAGATCTTGGTCTTTTCAGAGCCTCATCATGAGAGAGAAGCAATTCTTCCACATCCTCAGGCTCCACTTCCAATTCTAATTCTAATTCCCTTGCCATACCTACAACATTTACCACTCACTTCCTCCACTGGATTCTCAAACCCTTCAAAATCATCCATAAGTTCAGGAATCAAATTCTTCCAAACACCTTTGAGTGTAGTTTCTTTAACTTCATTCCATGCATCTCTAATATTTTTAATACCATCCAAAATTGTGAAACCTTTCCAAAAAGTTTTTATTTTGTTTAGGCCCTGGCATTTTATCACTGTCTAGGAAATTTACAGCCTTAATGAAAGTTCTCCTTAGGTAATAAGATTTAAAGGCTGCAATTACACCTTGGTCCATCAGCTGCAGTAATGAAGTTGTGTTTGCAGGTATAAAAGCAACATTTATCTCCTTGTACATACCATTTAGAGCTGTAGGGTCGGCAGGGGCATTGTCTAAAACAAGTAAAACATTAAAAGGAATTTTCTTTTCCTTACAGTAAGCCTCAACTGTAGGCTTAAAATAGTCCATGAACCAATTATGAAAATAACAAAAAAGGCACAATACCGTGACTGGAACGATACACAAATAACCCGCACATAAAAGAGAGAAGCTTACGACGACGTTTCGGCTCAGACTTGGACCATTGACAAAGTCACACTTTGTCAATGGTCCAAGTCGGACCGAAAACGTCGTCGTAAGCTTCTCTCTTTTAATTATGAAAAGATCGGCAGTCATCCAAGCTTTCAAATTAGATTTGTAATAAACGGGGAGGCTGCCTTTGCACAGTTCTTCAGGGCTCTAGGATTCTGAGTGATAAATCATCATAGTTTTAACTTGCAGTCACCAGCTGCATTAGCTCCTAGCAAGAGTGTTAGCCTGTCTTTTGCAGCTTTGAAGCCAGGCATTGACTTCTCTTCTTTAGCAATAAATGTCCTAGATGGCATCTTCCAAAATAAAGCAGTCTCATCCACATTAAAAATCTGTTGCTTGGTATATCCACCACATTCTATTATCTCGGCTAGCTCACGTGATTAATTTTCTGCAGCTAAATTGTCAGCGCTTTGCAGCTTCACCCTGCACTCTGATGTTGTGAAGTTGACTTCTTTCCTTAACCTATTAAACCAGCCTCTGCTAGCTGAGAATTTATCTTCAGCAGCTTCCTCCCTCTCTCAGCCTTTCAAAGAATTGAAGAGACTTAGGTCTTGGACTGGATAATGGCTCGGCTTAAAGGCACATTGTGACTAGTCTGATCATCAAACCACACCCATTAAAAGTTTTTCCATGGTCAGCAATAAGGTTATCACGTTTTCTTATAACTTTAGTGGTCCCCTGGTGTAGCACTTTTTAATTTCCTGCAACGCTTTCTCCTTATTGTTCATAAAGTACTAACCGTTTGACGAACCAAACCAAGCTCAAACCCGCTATCTCAGCCATTGACATACCTTGTTCACTAAGTTTAATCATTTCTAACTTGGCACTTAAAGTAAGAGGCTTACGACTCTTCTTTTCATAACAATTAAGCTTAGATGCCATCGTCAACGAGAGCCAGTTAGTTAACGAAAAGTAAACGAGAGAAAACGAGATACACGGAGCCCAGACAGTGTAAAAACACAAACTGAACGGGTGGTGGACGATCACTCGGTCAGGCGAAATAGACGGTATTAATACTTATCCAGTTTTAGTTCATTCACGTACTTTTGTAAGAGTTTGTGAAACTTTTACCTTACAATATTTTTTTATTATAATAATAATTAAATCACAAAACAAATACTCTTACATTGTGGACAAATTGTACAAGTTAGTACAGAATAATAAACAGCAACACTTCTATAATCATTGCAACACACTATTTTTAGAGTGAATGATATTATTATTATCATAATAAAAAAGAAGTGCTAAATCCACAAGGGTCGTGAATCGCTATAGAGTGAAGGCATACGAAAGGAATATTTTTCTACAGTTATCCCCTAGTAACAGGTGATGGACCAGAGAAAACGTAATTCTTCCGACACTCCTACAAACCGTTTGGTAAGCAGCTCATATTTATATCTATTTTTATACTGTGGGTTCATGTATCATGTTTGTGTGTTACATAATGTGTTTCTTATATAATTTTGAAAAAATATCATATATTAAGGGAAATGTCTATATTAATGTAATATGCGACATTTAATGCACCCAAGAGATTATTATTATTATTATTATTATAATGGCATCAAGAGTAGAGAGACTCTTAGTGATTTTAATGTGTACCTGCATGCCAGCACAGTGTGTAATTATATTTAGGTACAGGTGAACACAAGTTTAATTATAAAGTACAGTACATATAAAATATGCAATAACCTTAAAACACTTGAAATTTTGGAAAGTTTCCAGACATAATGAGATGTGCTCAGGGAGAATGTAAACAAACTGGGTGGGCCACAGTGACCGTATTAGAAAGGCGTGTGGGGGGGAGGAGCCGTATAGCGAGTTTTGGTCATAATTTGAAATGTCCATATTAGCAGAATGCCGTAAAGCGAAACGCTGTAAAGTGGGGCTCTACTGTATTTACATTGCTTATTATGTCATATTAGATGAATTATGATAGATAAATAACCCATAGAGTTGATATTAGCATCATATTGAAGTACATGTACTTTTGTCTTGCCTCCCAGAGCAGGAATTCTGTTGGAATGGATTAATGGCATTTCAATTAACTTAAATGAGGAAAATTGACCAGCATACGAGCAGATCAGAATACGAGCAAGATCAAGGAACGGATTAAACTCGTAAGCCAAGGTTTCACTGTATATGGTCATGAGCTAAAACCACAATGTTATATAATAATACATATTAATGAAATTTAAATGGAGATATTAAGGAGGCCAAGTGTTTTGCTAGAAAAATATATGTAGCTTTACAGAGAAAAGACAAATAATAAAATAATAATAACTTTTACTGGAGAGAGTGTGAATTAAGTGAACCTACGAGTTAAAAAGCAAGTCTGGGTCTTTTTCATACCTTGTTCGCCATGTTGACGTCAATGTTTTGTGCAAAATGAAGAGTTTCTCCAGGCCTGGCAGGTTTCCTTCTTCCACTGCTGCCACCAAGGCAGACAGAACAAAACTGGCATCCTGAAGAAAAACATCTTATTACATTTCTAAATAAAATGTAAACAAATGAATTATGACAAACTAAATGTACAAGTTATTCAATATTAGTAGCGCATGTCTAGCACATACGTAACAACAACAACAACAACAATAGCAGCAGCAGCAGCAGCAGTGGCGGCGTGAGTGGGTGTTGGGATTTGGGTGGGTGAGGGGGTGTGAGGTGGAGGGGGGATTATTCTTCTGTTTATAGGGTGTGGAAGTGAGTTTTAGTGTTTGGGAGTGGGTTGTAGGGGTCTAGTAATGAGTTGGGGGTTTTGGGAGTGCATTGTAGGGGTCTGAGAATGAACTGTAGGGGTGTAGAAGTTGTAGGGTTATAGGAACGAGTTTTAGGATTGTGAAAGTTATAGAGGTGTGGGAGCAAGTTGTAGGGATGTGGGCAGGGCCGGATTACCGCATAGGCAAACGAGGCATTTGCCTAGGGCCCCGCGGTTCAAGGGGTTCAGGGGCTCATCCAAGACTGCGCACATGGTGCAAGTGCAAAGGGGTCCCTACCTAAAAAGTTCAAGTGTTTGGAGAGTAAAATTGATATTTAAAAATTAATCAAAACAAAACTAAATAATGAAATAAAATAAAATAAAAATAAATAAACCTAACCATAGATGGCAACACTCAACATGCCTTTGTTTACATCAGAACAGCTGTGTTTTCCCTGTGTTTTCCCGCTAATGGGTGAGTATGGGAGATTCCTCTCCAATTTTCTGTAGTAATTACACATTATCTAGACTTGTACTGTGACAAATTAACTGAAGTGTTGTTGATGTGTATGGATAAATGTTTGTTTTTGCCTCTAAATGTTAAGGGAGGTACCTGATAGGGTTACTTGACCAGTAAAGACGCATGGACCAGTAAAGACGCATTTTTGGTAAAAATACTATAAAGAAAAACCTAAAAATGCAAACTGACTTCCGTTTGTAGGTTTTAAAAGCACTTTGTCCTGTCTTTAAGTCTTTATCATTTCAATAACAGATCTCAATTGATTGATGTTCTACGTCACTTCCGTCGCAAATGCTTAGTTTTCAAGTTGCGACGGAAGTGATGTAGAACATCAATTAATTTACTACATATTTCCCCAGAAACACATAAGCCACATCAGAAAATCGTTGGTTGGGTGAAACTGAAAATTGTCCCTGCATTCTTTAATTCTCATGTCCTTACCTATGGTGGTAGGCTATATATCATGCAAAACATAATGATTAGTTTAGTTATGAAAATGGTAATATAAATACCACTGTGCATTGTTCTTGGACTCAGTATGATTTCTGTTTAAGTAAATTGGAGATCAAGGAGGATGAATTAGTAAAATATTCGTACCCCAAATCACTAACCTAATCTATGGTAAAAGTTATGTATATGACTCCTTTCTGGTAACGTTTTGAATTTTTAGATGCGCAGCCAGAGGAAAGGGGGCTACAAGGGCCATGTCCCCCCAATTGACAGAAAAAAAAATTTAATAATAATTAAAAAATTAATAATAATTGATAATGAAAAATTTGTATTTGCATGATTACAGACAGTGATACATCCTCATTATGGCATCTCGTGAACGTGATGTTGGACGTTCTTATGCGAGTGGGTCACAGAAAAGAAAGAAGAAATTTCAAGAAGAAGAACAGAAAAAGAAAGATGTAGGAAGCTGCAGAAAGATCATAGACATGTTCACGAAAACAGTTTCTGATGTTACCAGTACAGTTGAATCTGCAGATACGTCAGATCATACAGGAAGCCCTCCCTCCATTATTTCTCAGCCAGCATCTACTTCTTTTGTGTCTCCTCTCAATGTCTCAACGGACATTTCATCCACAGGATTTGTCTTAAAAGATCCTGTCTCATGGCCAAATGTAATCCCAGATTCTCTACGTAATGCTTTCATTGCAGAAACCTTCAGTCAAACTCTGAACATTGACTTTAGGAAATCAGCAAGGATTTATGATGATGGAAGTCGTCGTTGTTTAAAGTCATCTATGTTTTATAGGAAGCTTGCAAATTCAGAAACTGTGAAAAGATCATGGATGGTATACTCTGAAAGCTCAGGAAAAGTGTACTGCTCAGCATGCAAGCTATTTTCTACCAAAGAAAATACCTTCACACAGGGGTTCAATGACTGGAAAAATTCCAAGCGTTTCAAGGAACATGAAAACAGCACCACTCACAGGAGCTGCATTTCAGCCAGTGTATTTCGTGCACAGAAAAAAAGGCTTATTGGATTCTCATTTGGAAAATCAAACTGAAAAAGAGCGCACTTATTGGAGAAAAGTTCTAGAAAGAGTTGTTGCTGTTGTAAAATTCTTAGCTCTAAGAGGACTTGCTTTCTGTGCAGAAAATAAGGTTTTTGGTTCGGAAAACAATGGCAATTTCCTAGGGAACATAGAACTGTTAGCACAATTCGATCCATTCTTAGCAAATCATGTGTCACGCCTTGGGAATGCAGGAAGAGGCACTGTATCTTACATGTCATCTACTATATGCAATGAATTTATTGAACTGATGACTAAGAAAGTTCTCAATAACATCATAGCAGCTGTGAAAACTGCAAAATACTTTGCAATAAGTGTAGATTCAACACCAGATATTTCACATACAGATCAATTGACATTCATTGTTCGCTTTGTCGACTCCAGTGGTAAGCCTGTAGAGCGCTTTATAAAATTCATTCCTCTTTCAGGCCATAATGGAGAAACAATGATGAATGTAGTACTGGATACTCTGCTTGAACATGATCTCTCTATTATGGATTGCCGTGGCCAGAGCTACGACAATGCAAGTAACATGTCGGGTAAATATAATGGATTGCAAGCCCGTATCAAGCAAATCAACCCACTTGCTGAATATGTGCCCTGCTCAGCACATTCTCTTAATCTTGTTGGGTCATGTGCTGCGGAGTGTTGTGTCGCTGCAGTTTCATTTTTTGGACTTTAACAAGCACTCTTTAATTTTTTCTCTGCTTCAACGCATCGGTGGAGTATACTCAAGTCAACCATTCATGGAGATGTCATCAAATCATTATCAACAACAAGGTGGTCAGCGCAGCATGATGCAACACATGCTTTGAAAGACAGCTTTGCTGAAATACGTTCTGCTTTGATCCAAATAGCAGAGGATGAAGACCAGACAGCAACTACAAGAAGCGAAGCAGCCAGCTTAGCATCAAAATTGGAAGATTTTGAATTGGCCTTACTCTGTGTGCTTTGGGACTGTTACTGGAACGGTTAAATGCCACGAACAAGACACTTCAGAAAATTGAAATTGAAATGGCTACTTGTGCTAACCTCTATGCAGGCTTAGTGGAATTTGTAAGCTCACTTCGCAATGATGAAGCTTTTGAAATGTTTGAAGAGAAAGCTAAACTGCTGGTGAAAGACTACAGTTACCGGGCTGATCATCAGCGGTCAAGGAAGAGGAAACGCAATTTTGAAGAGCCAGACAATGAAATTGTGTTGTACAAGGCAGAAATGTAAGACAGCTACATACTTCGTCATTCTGGATTCACTGATTACAGAATTGGTGAAAAGAAAAGAAATCTACCAGAATCTCAATGACAAGTTTGGATTTCCGATCAAAATTACTACTATGCCAGATGCAGAATTGAGAGAAGCTGCATTAAAGTTGCAACAACACTTTCAGCAGATGTTCAGGACACATTTGTTGAAGAAATAGTTCATTTTGCTGGGTATATGAATCAGATTAAAGCTCCACCTGAAAAATGTGCACCCTCAGCTGCTTTGAAACATTTAAGAAATGCAGGTATCTCAGAAACCTTCCCTAATGTTGACATAGTGTATCGCCTTTACCTAACACTTCCAGCTACTAACTGTGAAGGAGAACGTTCATTTTCTGTTTTGAAAAGAGTGAAAAACCAGCTCCGTTCAACAATGAGTCAAGACAAATTGTGTAACCTAGCCTTGTTGACCACTGAATCTGATCTAACAAGAAATATTGATTTTCAGAATATAATTGATGATTTTGCCAATATGAAATCCAGAAAAAAAGTTTATTTAAGAAGTGCCTGTGAATATAAACAATTCTTTACTTTCTTGAGTTTATATGATTTTTTAGTCTTATGCATGATACAATGATAACAATAATGGTCAGTGATTTATAAAGGGAATAATAGTGCTGTAGTGGTTATGCTGAATATAATAGGTACATGATGTCACTACTTTAATAGCCTAATCTAGAAATACTATGCTGTCTTGAGTTTATTCTCTTTAAAATGCATGATTTAACAAGATAGTTATAATGGCTGTTGGTAAATGGTTTTGGTTGTCTTGACTGTACTTTCCCTATTAAATTTAATCTAAATAGCCAGAATGTATTTAATTAGACCTTAAACAGGCTCACACCGACCCCCCCCCCCCCCCAAGCTGGAAGGGGTCGCTTCGCTTACCCGTAACTCAAAGGGGCCCCGCCAATCTGAATAGCCTAGGGTCCGGAGACTTCTTAATCCGGCCCTGGATGTGGGAGTAAGTTATAGAGGTGTGGGAGTGAGTTGTAGGAGTAAGTTATAAGGGTGTGGGAGCGAGTTGTGGGAGTAAGTTATAGGAGTGTGGGCAGGGCTCGATTAAGGCATGGGATTTAGAGGGCGCAGCCCAGGGTCCTCTGCCAAGCTGGAGGGCCTCCAGGGTGCAGCCCAGGATCTCTGCCAGCTGGAAGGTCTCCAGGGGCTGCATTTCCAGGTCCTTGCCAGTGGAGGGCCTCCAGGGGCTGCAGCCAGATCCTCTGTAGCTGAAGGTCTCCAGGGGCTGCAGCCAGGGTCCTCTGCCAGCGGAAGGTCCTCCAGGCTGCACCCAGGTCCTCTGCCAGCTGGAAGGTTCGGGCTGCAGCCCAGGATCCCTGCCAGCTGGAAAGGTCTCCAGGGGCTGCAGCCCAGGGTCCTCCACCAGCTGAGGGCCTCCAGGGCTGCAGCCCAGGGTCCTACGCAGCGGGGAAAGGTCTCCAGGGTGGCTGCAGTCAGGATCCTCTGC